ATATTTGAATTACAGTTGCGTGGAGCATTATAGTGGGGAAAAATTAAAAGCATATTTGAGAGAGACACTGCTTACACTGCATGGAATCAGAGCCACATGCTGACAATTACAAGAGCAGCAGTTTGTTCATTAGAGCTCACTAGAATCTGTGCTGAAAAACCAGCCTTTTTCCTTATGAAAACTGTTTTCCAACTGTTCAGGTTATCTGCACAGTTTGCAAGTTGAAGGATTCTCACTGTTTTTCCAGAACATGATATTGCTGTATAGTTACAGTGTTAAAATGACAAATTTTAAAAAAATAAAAAGAAAATACTTTTTGGGCAATTGTTAAGAAGAAGCTTCTCTCCACCTCCTCACACATGCACTCTGCAGGCTTTAAACGTTCTGTATATGATTTTCTCCACAATTATGTTTTGCTTCAGAGGTTTTTGTTGATCTGTTTATACAACAGAAGTATAATAGTCCAATAACAAGAGGAAAAAAACACATTTCTCACTTTCAGCTGTAAAGTCTTTTAATACACCTGTATAAAAATACGAATGGCAGCAGCCAAAAGGGAATACAAATCCATCCCAAACTATCTGGCAATCTTTAATTCCTCTTTATCCTATTCTTCGTCTTTGATATAGTGGTACTATTGTCTCTCTCCAAATTAAGCATTCAATCTTTTGATAGATCCAGAAGTCATGCAGAGAAAAAGAAAAGTAGATAACTATAGTACCTAAACTCTGCCACAAGATAGCAATACTCGACAAGTACTGAGATAGCAACCACTGGGATCACATGTGAGGTGAGCAAATGCTTCTGTTCAGAGAGATGTTTAACAGCAGTATTAGTCCACTCACTGAAGATATCTGACAAATCTAGCTTTAAGTTTCTAAATATTAATTTCTGCAAGATTAGGAAATTAATGAGACTAATGTAGAAATGTGTTATCTCCCATCTGTCATCAGCACTGTAAGGAAAACCAGCGAAGAGCAATAACTGTGGACAGTTATACATATAACTGATTCATTCCCTAGTTTTCTACACAAAAATCCCATGCAAACCTAATAAAGAATGTGAAAAATGCATACAATTTTCAGATGTGATAGAAGCCTCATGACATCAGCCATATCAGCCAGGATGAGCAGGCGAGTGACAGCAGAGAGCAAGGCGCGAGCCGCCCGCACCATGGTGCCTCTCTTCACCGAGGAGCAGGGGTCATCAGCAAACTCTGAAGAGGCAATTCGCATTGTTTCCCCTACAATTGAAAACAAAAATTGTAACTAAGGTTAAGTTTCAGCTTCATAATTTTTTTTCTTCCAGAAAGTATTAACAACTCAATAAACTAAGTGCTGTTAGGGAAAAGAAAACAGAGAATCACAAAATGGTTTGGGGTGGAAGGAACCTTAAAGACCATCTAGTTCCAACCCTCTGCTATAGACAGAGACACTTTGCACTAGACCAGGTTGCTCCAAGACCCATCCAGCCTGGCCTTGAACACTTCCAGGGATGGGGCAGCCACAGCTTCTCTGGGCAACCTGTGCCAGTGCCTCACCACCCTCACAGCCAAGAATTCCTTCTTAAGGTCTAATTTAACCCTGCCCTCTGGCAGTGTGAAACTGTTCCCCCTTATCCTATTGCTTCATGCCCTTGTCACAAGTTCCTCTCCAGCTCTCTTGGAAGTACTTCAGGTACTGGAAGGTGCTAGAAAGTCTCTTCAAAGCCTCCTCCTCTTCAGGCTGAATAGTCCCAACTCTCCCAGCCTGTCTCAATAGATTTTATACAACCCAATGAGATTTTATATTAACCCAAACTTTGCTATTATTAAAACTAAAATGAATCCTGCTTGTCTCCCACACAGAAACTCCAAAAGAATCTACTTCTAATGTGAAATCAAAACATATCTACATTGCTTTTAAGACTAGTGTAACAACATCCAAAATAAAATCCCAGATGGCACAACTTCCCTTAAGACAATGCAAACAGTGGGGCAGAGACTTGAGACAGCAACAGTGAATAATTCCCGTCAGAACTCTTTTCCTTATTATATTTGCTATTAAGACTGTGTGTTTGTACTATAATTTGTGTGCAGTGTATCTTGTGTGATAGGCTGATGATATGCAATTTCAGTAGAAAAATTCAAATGGCTCATTTCTGAGGCTGCATACTACTCTTAGCTTTCCATAAGGTTGACAAAACCCTCAAAGGATTTCTTAAGAGACAATCTACTAGCAATCATTGTTAGATAATGAGAAAACAAAACAAATTTCTAAACATGCTTAAATAATATATTGCTCAGCATCACAGAGTCAATGTTCCAGGTACCTGCTCTCTGAAGAGAAACAAGGTTTCTGCACAGCAGGAACACAGCTGCTGTCCCTAACTTCCCATGCATTTCACCTGTGTGCCAAAAATCACTGAAAATAGGAGCAAGGAACTATGAGGCCATAAAGATTTTTCTGACACATACTTTAAATCAAAGAGTTATTAAAAAATTTATCAGTAACTCTTAGCTGAGTGTGCTAAAAATGTGAATTAAATTTCCGTAATTTTTTAATTATTATTATTTTTGAGTCAGTTACTCCAAATATTTCATGTCGGAATGAGAATGAGAAGTTGAGAGTGACCACAAGATGGCTTAGAGTCTAGCATGTAAGCAAGGGTTAGATGTGAATTTCCTAACCTGGGAATTTGGTCCCAGGGGATGACCGGATTCATCTAACCAGTGTAACAATTGGGAAGGTATTATGTTCCCCGCGGTTATTTATTGAAGGCAACCAAGTGCCACAGCTTAGTGTAGAAAGTTTGCTCTAATATGCACTCTTAGAGCATATCAAGCTGACTGGACCCAAGAGGATACACACAACTGCAAGAAATCCCAGCAAGGCTTTCCATTATTTAAGCTCTAAGCTGTACTCAGATGAGATGGAAGTGACTCTAAGCACCCAGAAACAGAACCTCTGTATGTGACAGTACTGAATTTTAGGTATATCCAAGATGAAATGGCAGCCAAAGCAAGCTTTGGATTTTGGAATCAGATGCCTGCAAATCGTTTAACTTCCGTTTTAGTACAGAAGAGATTTTATCATCTTCTCCCAAATTACCAGTCTGTAACTTTAGATAAATATTTGTATTGATCTATGAAAGACAGAAACAGTATTTGACAACTGGCCAGTGGCACCAGGAAAGCAAGCAGGAAAATTATCATCCTTGGTTTGACTATCCAAGGAGATACCCCTAACAAATAGATTTGAAAATCAACACTGGTGGACAGAGGGAAAATTAATAGAGGGCCAAAAAAATTCAGTTTATAAAATTTTGATTAGTCATTTAATCTTAGAAAGCTCAAGTTAGGTGAAATAAATCTCACAAATAATTAAGTAGAAAGTATGAAATGAACATAATCAAATAACTAAATCCAAAAAGTCTTAATCTAAAAGTTCATAGCAGGTTGCTCAAAACTTATAAAGATCTAGTAGTTCATAATTCAAAATCTAATAACCTAGAAAAGTAGTGGTTATGGGGAGGAAGACTCATCTGTTTCAGTGCAAATTAACATTTTAATCCTTGTAGAGCGATGGTATCAAACCACTCTTAGGCTAAAGGTAATGCTGGAGCTTCAGCTAGTCCAATTATTTTTCAGAGAAACCTTTTTTATCTGGAAAAAGCCAACCCTACATTCAGTCATCCATTTCTTTCCAAATTCATTTCAAGTTGTCCTGTAATCTATATTAAATTACTTGCAGTGAAAATTAGGTCGATGCAAGAAACACAGACATCTGAAGTCATCAGGTCTGCTTCCTCGCCACTGCACTCACTCATGTCATAATATAATTAATAATAATCTTAATATGATAATAGCTACACTCATAAATTTATCAAGCTTCTATCTTAGAAACAGCTCAGATATTTAACCCCAATTAATCCTATGTGAAGTAGCAAACTCCTTCCAAAATGTACTCCAGAATCTGACAGGTTCTGTTCATTAGAGACACTTTAATGCCATAGTGCCTGTACTTGTAGATAATTTATCTCCATTTCTTCTCATGCCCCATTTGTCCTTCAATTTCACTAAGTGTTCTTCTTCCACTCTTGTTCTTATTGTCCCTTTTTCACTTCATGCATTTTAGTGATGAGCCCTAAGATTAAAGGCAGTACTTCAGTCTCCTCTAATTGACAGAATATCCATCCCTATAATCATCACAGCAGCTCTACAATAAGAACTGCAGTTTTCTAGGACTTTTAATTTGCAGCTACATGCAATACTTCATAGAACCATACAATATCGTGAGTGGGAAGGGACCCACAGGGATCATTGAGTCCAGCTCCAGGCCCTGCACAGGACATTCCAGGAATCCCACCATGTGCCCAAGAGCTTTGTCCAAATGCTTCTTGAACTCTGTCAGGCTGAGACTGTGACCACTGCCCTGGGGAGCTGTTCCAGTGCCCAAACACCCTCTGGGTGAAGAACCTTTTCCCAACATCCAACCTAAACCTTCCCTGTTAGAAAGTGATTTAAAAGTGAATTAAACAAAACTAGAATATTCAGTGGAGAAAGCCCCTATTACTCACATAAGAAATGCTTATATTAAAAAAGAAGAAAATAAAACAACAACAACAAAAAAAAAAAAAAAAAAAAAAAAAAAAAAAAAAAAAAAAAAAAAAAAAAGAAAACCAAAATCAACCAAAAATCTCCAACCCCAAAAAAACCACAAATCACAAAAACCCGTACAGTGAACCTTGGCTTCATTCCCAAATTGTAAGAGTTACCAGAAAATTCCTGCAGGGAGGGTGCAGACAGGACAGAGTCTCTTCCCAGTGGTGCCCAGTGACAGGACAAGGGGCAATGGGGACACACTGACACAGGAGGGTCCCACTGAATGCCAGGGAACACTTTTTCACTGTAAGGGTGACCAAGCACTGGCACAGGCTGCCCAAGGAGGTTGTGGGTCTTCATCCTTGGGGATATTCTAAACCTGTTTGCACACAGTCATGGGCAACTGGTTCCATGTGGCCCTGCAGGGAGTTGGACTAGATGATCTCCAGACATCCCTTCCAACCTCAGTCATTTTCTGATTCCAGGAATCTGACAAGAGCCACACAGCAATCACATTCCTGCACTTGAGTAATGACTAGAAGATGTGTGCAAAGCTGTTATTTAGCTTCTGGGATCTCATCAGCTTGAGAAGGTTCAAACCTACAGCTATCGTCTCCCAACATCACTACCAAACCACTTGCCTTATCCTGACAGGATTTAACTAGGGGATCTATTCATCTATCCTGCCTTGAAGGGTAATGTAAGAGGAGATTTAGTCATATCCAGTCACTTTCTCATAATAAAGTTACAGCACCTAGAAACGGAATTTTTTGAACCTGATTTTCAAAAAAAAAAAAAAAAACACAAAAAACCTTTTCCCCTTAGATTTTCAAAATAAAATGTTATTTTGTTTTGGATATTAAATTCAGACACTCATATAATAGCAATTAAAGACAATAAAAGCACTTAAATATAACTTTGCATGTATTTAACCAGAATCACATGCACATAACAGTCATCTGGTAACCTGGGTAAAGTAATTCAAGTACAACATGCTTAACAATTGCAAAAAGCTGTCAACAGATGACTGCAGAGTTCACCAGAAAGGCTACTGGAACCTTTGGAATCATAAGCAGACTTAAAGGTAAACATCTACGTATGAAGAAAGGAATGAACTAAAGCTTTTAGCAGTTAATACGCTGAGGAAATGCCATTTTTCCAAAGACCTGGAGTGTTTATTAAGAGATAGAAGACAGGCACAAAGCAGCAATCTAGAGAACAGCTATGATCAGGAGGGGATGCTGACAATACTCCAAACACCTGGAAATAATTAACAGAACTATGACAAATTGATTGGATGTGCTACTCCTGACCAGTTCTCAGATGGAAGAAATTAATAAAGCTATGGTCTAATTAATCAATCTCTTTTAGATTTTCTCTTTTGTTCTACGTGTCCAAGATTAAAAAAAGTGACAACTGATCTATGACCTAATTAAAGTAGCTTAGAGTGCTCCCCTTGTAATTAGAGCAAAAACAGTGTTATAAAGCTATTCTAAATTATAATAATATAGAGACCCAAACTGAGTTGCAAATTCCTTATAGAACAGTGATAATGATGATACTGAATGATGACATGATAGATTCAAATAACCCATAATTGCTAATAGGGCATATATAAATAATATAAACAGATGTTCAATCCTTCTTTCATAGATGCTGTC